CTGTCAATCTGTGCAGCATTAAACCATAGTGGTTGTGTCAAAATTCAATGTGAATGTGTCCGAATGCAAAGAGAGCCCCACCTCACTGCTGAGAGTTCTTTTTCCTTGGAGAATCTGTTCATGTCCATTGATGGTTCTTGTAAGAAAAAAATGTCTGCATAAACACCAGTATAAGAATATAAGAGTGTGTATTGTGGGTGTGGGAGGGACGTGGTGGCGCTGCTGGTTAAACTGCAGAAGCCTCTGTGCTACAAGATCGGAAGACCAACAGTCGTAAGATCAAATCCATGTGACGGAGCGAGATTCTGTTGCTTTTCCCAGCTCCTGCCAACCTAGCAGTTTGAAAGCAAGCAAATGCGAGTAGAGAAATAGGTACCACCATGGTGAGGAGGTAACAGTGTTCCGTGTCTAGTCACGTTGGCCACATGACCACGGAAACTGTCTTTGGACAAACGCTGGCTCTACGGCTTGGAAATGGGGATGAGCACTGCCTCCTACAGGGGGACATGACTGGACTAAATGTCAAGGGGAACCTTTACCTTTATTGTGGGTGTGGATATAAAACCATAGACTTCAGCAGCACTCTAGGCCCTTGGGAAACTAGTGAGATTAAACTGCAATACAGTGGTGCCTCACACAGCGAGGTTAATCCGTTCCGGATTAACCATCGCTGTGTGAAAGCATCGTTGAACGGGGCAGTAAAAACCATTGGAACGCATTAAACATGTTTAATGCGTTCCAATTGGGCTGAATACTCATGGTTCAGCGATGCTTCCCTATGGCTTGAAACCATTTTCACGCCCTCCCCTCGCTTAACGAGGGCGCGAAAACGCTGCGCGTGGCCATTTTGGGGCTTCCGGCAGCCATTTTGTAGCCACGGAACAGCTGATCGGCGGGTCGCAAAGCCAAGGTCGGTAAGCGAACCGCTTACCGACCTTCACTCTGCGATTTTCGCCCATTGGGGCCGTCGCTCTACGATCGCATTAGCGATCGAAAAAACGTCCCTGTAGAGCGAATTCATCGCTCTACGGGGCGTTCGTTGTGCGAGGCACCACTGTATTAGCCTGACTAGTCAATTGAACCTACAACATAAACACGACTGATACACACACCTCTGGTAATTAAAACTGTGTTGCATCTGAAAATTGAAATGTCACTTTTGTTATCTCACTTAATAGTCATTAATCATCCTATCTTCCAAGGGTCTATCTAATCATCTTTAGATATGTTTTGAGCTAGTAGTCATTCCAGACCACAGCACATTCTATAGGTTAATTATGCATATAGTTACAGCTGCCAATAGTTTTATTTAAGACCATAACATCAATGCTGGATCAGACTAAAGACTTGCCCAAACCACTCTCAGCAGATAACTAGATGCCTCGAGGAAGCCACAAGTAGGACTCAATGGCAGTTGCAGTTATATAAAGTCAGAGGCATACTAGCGTCTGAACCAGAAAGTAGCATATAGTCAGATGATCAGTAGCCACTAATTGACATATGCTTAGTTTTATACATGTCAATCATGCCTCCATGCACTAAATTAAAAGTCCTCAAGTTTGTGCTTTCCTCCAAATAATAGAAGAAAAGCACCCGTGCATTCTAATATTTTTTGCACTGGTACCATATTCTTTCCTTAACAGGAAAAAAAGAAAACGCCCAATCTCTTTAGCCTTTACATGTCAATCATGCCTCCATGCACTAAATTAAAAGTCCTCAAGTTTGTGCTTTCCTCCAAATAATAGAAGAAAAGCACCCGTGCATTCTAATATTTTTTGCACTGGTACCATATTCTTTCCTTAACAGGAAAAAAAGAAAACGCCTAATCTCTTTAACCTTCTACCTGTATAGGGAAGACACTGCAACCTGCTGATAATTTTAGTTAGTCTTTTCTTTAAATTTCTATGAGAGCTTTACAGAGGTGACTCAAATTGTACCCACTACTGTAACTGTGGCAAAACCATAGAGCAACCTAATGGTATTTTAATACTTTTTTATTTTTAATGCCTTCACTAATAATTCCTAATGCTGAATTTGTTCATCACAGACTTGTTGTATTAACTGTTCCATTATATGCTCAGTACCTCTTCCCTAGATAGTTTTAATAAATTCAAACCTCATCAGTGTATGAAGTTATGATCCTCTGACCCAATGTACATAATTTTGAACAACCGTTCATACTTACTAACATTGAATCTTATCTGCTGTTCTATTGCCTGTAAAGCTAGATTGAAGAGGTAGTTTGGAACCTATAACAGTCTGTTTAGGTTTTCATCATCCTGAATAATTTAATATTGTCTGCAAACATGGCTAGTTCACTGCTGGCCCTCTCTTTATATCATTTTGAAATTTAAAATAGGACTAGTTCCCGTATATATCCTTAAGGGACACTATTCCTTACTTCCTTTCATTGTGAAAACTATTTATTAATTCCTCCCCTATACTTCCTGTTTTTCTAAATCAGTTACCAGACCATGAGAGGACCTTTGTCATAGTCCATCAGTCCTAAGTGTTCTTATGAGTTTTCCAGTGACTTTGCCAAAAGCTTTCTTGAAAGCACTGTACAAATCTATCAGATTACTCCTATCTGTTTGTTCCACATTTCTACAATTCTAGCCTTCCTACAACTTTAACCAAGGCAGAGCATAGGCCAGGGGGACAGTAATTTCCTGGGTCAGATCCTTTTTATATGTAGATTCCACAGATTTACTTTTACTTACACCTCATAAATATCCCTGCTTTCTATTCTGTGAAAATTATGGTTCTGTTACCTTTGAAAGTTTTCCAGTATGTCGCAAAAATAGATAGCTGATAGAGGGTCCTTATTATTTGAATTCTGATACCAGAAGTTCACTGTATTCTGCTTGTGCATGCTGGTTACACTATAAAACATATGTCAAAGTCAGGCATAAACTCATTTTTTTCCACAATTTGATTTCTCAAACCCAGAGAGAGTTGATTTTAGTTGTGCATGAACTACTCTTTTGTACTAAAATTTCCACAACCCACTGATGCGTTATAAATTTACAGCCAAGGGGGCACAGTCAGAATCTCTTTTACAATTAAGGCATGACAACTGTTCAAAAGTATAAGAAGCACTTCACTGCATAAGGACCAAAAAGCTCCCCCAATTTCAGTGTACCTTGTTATAATCCCAGCTATCAAAAGTTATTACATGGGTCAACATAAATTTGAATTGGAATTGTATAGTAATATGACACAACAATGTTCTGGATCTTTTTGGTACAATTAGTAATGAATGTGGAATGTGAAAACGCAGAAATAAGTCTTCCATATCAGCGTAATGTGGACAGGGTGGGCAGAGTGCAGTCCGCTTGATGGGACTCAAAACTCCTACCAGCCCTCACAAACATAGCCAAGAGTGGGGAAGTGTGAGAGCCCCTTCCCCAATTTAGGAGGCTCTGCAACTCAAGATGTACTGATTTGTGCATCATCTTTTTGAAACATGCAAGAGAAAATTTGTGAGCATGTGGGAAAATGTTCTGGCCCATCCAAACCTCACTCATTACAGAAAGTCAGGGTGCTTTCAAACGGATGGCTCCTCTTAGCACTCCTAACCAAAGGCTGTTCCTTCCACCTTTCCCTCCTTAATGAATTTTCTGTGGTAAGGGGAAAAAAAGACAAAGGAGTGGGTAAAAGAACGGGAAGGTTTATAAATAGAAGATAATACTGCTTAGACCCCCAGTAAAATTCCATGAAGGAGGCAGGAGAACTGCACAGTAAAATAAATCCTCTGGAAGCACTCTCAGTGCTTTTTGCTTCCATGATGCCAGGGCTCACTGGAATTCAAAAGAGATATGATGCAATACAACTCCCCAAAGAGAGAGAGAGCGGCTCAGAGGATGTTTTGTTTTTTAAAAAATTATTTTTAGAAAGGAGAAACGGCCAGATCCACTGAGTAGGGACCACTGCCAACCAAGATGGAAGCCCGACATTGCTTGCATGGCGAGGAAGGTCCCAGCCTGAGGGGCCATATCCCTTGTCACTATCGCAGCAGGTTGACCCAAGGTTTATTTTTACCTGGTTGTGTGAAAAGTTGGGGTTTGTCAGCAACTGTGCTGGCTGCAGTCGCTTGGCTACACAGCGACCATCGTCAAAGAAGCATCGTTGCTGTGGGGAGATAGATGTTTGTGCTGCTTAACTTAGGGGCTGAGGACCTCTGAAGTACACCTCTACCTTACGGGTAGAGTGTGTGTGTGTGTGTGCGTGCGTGCGTGCTGTGGGAGATAGTTGGTGTTCAGGAGCTGTTGATAAGCAAGAGGCTGAGACTTAGTTTGGCAGTTACGAACGGCTGGTAATGTTTCTTGGCTGAGTAAACACGGAGGGGGGGGAAGAGAGAGAGACGGTCGAAAACCAGTATCTTGCTGGCTAAGCGGGTTGCGGGGTGAACGGTGAAGAACGCAACCCAGCCCACGCCATGCATAGGGAAAAAAGCCTGACTCGCCCGGTGTTTGTGCTGGCTGGAAAATCCAGTCCGCAGTTTCCGTCTCTCCTCGGCAGTCTCCGTCTCTGGCAGCGGCAGAGGGCGGGAAGGCAAGTGCACAGAACAGCCAGTTGTTTAAAATCCTTCTAGAACCGTTTCTAATTCCCCCTTGCGTCGGGGAAGGGAGAGCGGGAGGGGGAGGAGGAGCCGGAGGCTGGTGGGGGGGGGGAGCCAGAGCGAAGAGGAGGAGGGAGCAGCCTGTCCTGGTCTCAGCCTGTCCATCACCGCGCGGGAGGTGTGTCTGAAGGCGCAGCGGGCCAATGACATGTGTGTGTGGCGGCGTTTCCATGGTGACTGGGCTGTTCCTGGGGAGGCTGTGATGGGTTGACAGGTGCGTGACAGTCGGAGCTCTCTGCAGGCATGTACGGCAAAGGCAAGAGCAACAGCAGCGTCCCGTCCGACAGCCAGGCCAGGGAGAAGTGAGTACAGCCCGCCGGACCGCACAGGCTGACTGGGCGGGGAGGTGGGCGCGCAGACGCCCCGCACAAAGTAACTTTACCGCTTCTGGTGCATGGGAGGGAAGGAGGGGAGGGGGGCGCCCTCGCACGAGCTCGCGGAGCACAACCCCGGCGCGGGAAAAGAAGAGGCGGAAGAGAGCGAGAGAGCAAGAGAGAGCAGCGCGGGGGGTGGTGGAAGTGGGGGGCCCCCGAAGAAACGCCACAAGTCGGGGTGTCTGTCGGGAGGAGGGTGCGCGCGCCTGCCTGCCTGTGTGGCAAAAGTGAAGTACGCGACACCCTCTGGTTCAGGCACCATCCGGGGGTAACAGAGCCCCATTCCGAAGGGGGGGTGGGGCTGGGGTGTCGGGCGATCTTTTTCGCGTTGTGTTTTCTTTGGGGAGGGGGGAGAAGGAGGGGGAGGACACGCCGTGGCTCAACAACACACACGCACACCCCTGGTCGCCTCCGGTACCCCGGACGGTGGCGGCGGCGGCGGCGGAAGGTTGCACCTCGGTCCGCTCTGGCGAGGAGAAAGTGGTTCAAAAACAGACTGTGTGGAGGAGACTCCACACAGGGTAGGATTAAACGTTTCGGCTCGGGGAGTATTTCCCTCTTGTTTTTGTTTTGGTTACCCTTTCTTTTGCCGCCTGGTTTCCTCCCACCTCCCCCGGGGTCATGGTACCGGTCGGGAGGGCGGAGGAGATGGTGCTGGAGTAACTTTGGTAACAAAAGAGCCTTGCCTGCACGGTGTGCTCCGGTGGTGGAGCTTCCGCGAGGGAGGGAGGGAGGAAGAGGGAGGGAGAAGCAGCAGCAGCGTCCTTGCCTTGCCGGCTAACTCCTCGACACTCAACTCTCTCTGCTTCTCTTTCCGCCCTTCAGTCGGGACCTGGTCTCTCCCTCCTCCTTCCCTCCCTCCTTCCTCCCTCTCCTCTCCTCTCCCTTCCCTCCTCCTTCTCCTCCTCCTCCTCCGGGCACATCCCTGGCCTAGGTTGCGGGCACTCTCGTACTCCATGGGGTGAGGGGCGGGGGAACGACCGCCAAGTATTTTTGCAGCCTCCCTCTTTCCTAGTCTTGTGTGTGTAGAAAGGGCTGGTGGTGGTCTGGGAAGAAAGGTAAACTCAGGTTGTTTCAAGTGAAATGCAAAACTCTGTTAAGGAGAGGTTAAAGTTGGAGCTGAAAGGGAGTTAACCTTTTTTGAACAGAGAGCATGTAGAGAAAAAGTGCCAGCTGGCTTCTACTCAGTGCTCAACCAGTTTATAATGCTGAGAAATACAGATTCACCCCACCTATGGAAGCCTGGGTGCCTTGTATCTGTTGCAGTACCTTGAGTCACCTGTTATAGAGATTACCAACAACTTTTAGAAAATAAGTACTTTTAAAGTCAATATTTACCTAGTGCACAGCATAGTTAACTCGGTTATACAAACGGTCCTGTGCTCTCATCTTATCCTTTTCATGACTACATGATGATTTTTCACAAGGGATTGGTAGGAAAGCAGTGTTAGTAAACTAAAAATAAACAAAAACACGAGGGTAATTTTTGATGCTTTTGTTTTATAACATTAATTTGATAATTTTGAATTTGTCAGGCTTTTCACATTTCTCTTTTTATCTCGCTGAAACAGAGGGCTGTTTATTAAGAAGAATGGTTTGGTTTGTGATGGCAAAAAATACTTATTGAGACAGACACATTTGTTGCCTACTTTTCTTCCCTTTCTAGAGGCTGTAGTCACCTTCCAAGGTGAGGTGCCTGAAACTGAAGATATGTTTTGAGTGTGTATGGTCTTGTAAAATGTCATTGTACATAACTTGCAGTTTTACTCAACATGCAAATGAATAGACTAAGCATGATTCAGAAGTTTCATTTGTGTCAGCTTGCTTTGAATCTTCACCTAAGGATTTTTCTTGCTATAGCAGTTTTAAGAGAAGAGTTACTTCCTGGTTTGAAAGACAAAGAAGCAGGCCAGGAACTTAAAGTCATTTGTCAATTCTCTGTATCTCATATGCTGATGCATAGGAAAGTACAGAAAACAGTACAGTAGTTACTAAAACTTGAAACAGAAATTGATGACTGTTTAAAACTTAAATTAGTGAACCATGTAAAACAAAGCATGTATAAACTTGTTGCCCTCTTCTGTGCCTAACAGAATCTTGGCCAAAGTTATGCAACTGTATATTTATGAACTATGCTTTTTTGTGCTGCAAACTTTGGGGAATTTAAACTTCAGCATAAAGTTTTGCAAAGAAGCTTGTTAGGGAAAAATATAAAATAAGGTGTTTTGTAGAATTTTGTGTTGAACTATGTCAGTTTTGGTTATTTTTGTGTGCATTTGACTGAAATGTGATGTTGCTCTATATTTTCTTCCTGGTACTGGACAAAGACATGCCATAAAATAGGTTGCTATATGAATGCCTGTTTTGTAGTAGAATCCAAAGCAGCACCATTGAATTATCACCTAGTAATAAGTACCTTTTGAAGTTAAGTTAGGGGAACTGCTAGATGGTGCTATTTGATCTAAATACATTCCTCTCTCCATTCCTTTCGTTTTGCAGCAAAGAATCTGTGTTGCTCTTTTAGAGTTTTCTTGGTCTATGCAGCATTTAAAAACAATGAAACAGATTCTGCTTGTGATGGGTAAAAGTATTGTTTGGAATTATGGGGAAATTATTAGATGCTTGATTTTGTTAGATACCACTTTATAGACAGTGATATATTGTTACATTGAGTAATTGTTTATCAAAAGTATTGTGTTGTTACCCATGTGACTTTTTCTTCAGGAAACCCATAAAGTAAAAAATTCGGAACATTATTTTCTTGCAATATTTTTCCATCACAGTACAGTTTTGGCCCTCGGGATATAGTTCTATTGAGAACAGTTTTTGTCATAATAAAATGAATACTGTTGAGGAGAGGGAAGAAACAATTTTCTGACCTTTTAATAAACTAACAATGGCCCAAACCACTGCAGACATAATGGGGTTTAAAAATCATCCTTACTGAAAATAGAAAGTTACATTTGAATAGATTTTCTCGGTAGAAGGAAAACCCTGGAAGAATTAAGATTTTATCTATTTTTTATTTAAATGTTTTAATGTAACTACTTTCACCCTGTGTATAACACAGTACAGTATGTAGATACTGCAGTCCAGTTGGGCATGCTTAAGTTAATACCTAAATGGAGTATATACATTTGTGTTGATCTAGTGTTACAATGACTGATTATACAGTCCTAAGCAAGTTTCCTTAGAAGTAAATCTAATTTTATGTTGCGGTAGTTTACTCGCAAGCAACTGCGCTTTGAATTGTTTCCTGACTACTATTTAGAAGCAAAAAATTAATATTGGGGGATTCTCTAAAAATTTTCCTGTGTTTGACTGTACTGCAATGCTAGTTTCAAATATCTTTCTATTAGTATTTTTATAAAAGCTAGCTTGAGCTTCAGGTTGCATAGATAATGTTAAAATATTTTAAACAGATGAATTCACAATGAAATCCCATCTTCCTAGAATATATGAGTTTACATTGACACCTTGTGACAAGATGATTGTGGGATGAGATTCTGAGAAAGAGTCAAAACATGTTGTGATAATGGACTATCATAACATGCAAGTATGACTTTGAAAACTCATTTTTTTGGAAATGCCTGTTTTTTTCTGTTGTAATAAAGATTAAACATTTTTCTGACTCTTTAAAATATACCTCATAGAAAAAGAAAATAGAAAAAAAGACAACTCGTGTTATTTCTGCTTTTCTGTCTCATTATGACATTGTAGAGAACACAGAATGATGTGATTGCTCAGAGGATTTATAATTTATGCTGGATGTGAGAGAGGGGTTGCTTGTCTCTAGCTTTTGGGATTTCTCCTTGTGCTCTCTAAATTTCTCTTTTAATGGTTGTGGGTTTGGAGAGAGTGTGTTTAGTTTGGCTCTGAATGCTTTTCTCAAAGAACACTGTGAAACTTGAGATCCATATAGTAAAGAACAGCGTAAATATAAAAGTAAATGCAGGTACTCAACTTATTTAAATCTATATCACAAAGACAAGTTCTCTTTAAAGCATATCATCTATGAGAATGATCCTTACTGCACTGGCAGAATGCTTTAAAGGAGGAAGGTGTGTACACGAGCTGGATACCACACAGTCAGAATACTGGTAAAATCGCTTGGTCAGAAGCAAGCAGGTGTCTCATGAGTTGTGGACCATGTAATATACCTGGGGTTTACTTTACAGTGGGGTCTCTACTTAAGAACTTAATCTGTATTGGAAGGTGGTTCTCAAGTTGAAAAGTTCTTATGTTGAATCTGCATTTCCCATAGGAATGCATTGAAAACCATTTAATCCGTATCTGCTCTTTTCCGTTCCATAGAAACTACAGTGGAACCTCTACTTAAGAACTTAATCAGTTTTGGAATGGTGTTCTTAAGTTGAAACGTTCTTAAGTTGAAGCAAAATTTCCCATAGGAATGGACTGAAAACCAATTAATCCGTTCTGGCTGTTTTTTTGTTATGTAGAGGTGCGTTCGTACATTGAAGCATTAGTTCCCATAGGAACTAATGCAAAGCTGGTTAATACGGACTCTGCCACTAGGGGGAGAATTTTTTTTAACCTAAGATGACCTCAGGTTAAAAAAAGAGCAGGAAAGGTTTTTTTTCCTGTTCTTATCTTGGATTTCTGTTCTCAAGTAGAAGCAAAATTTAGCAAATGGAGCTGTTCTTAAGTTGGATTGTTCTTAAGTAGGGACATTCTTAAGTAGAGACCCCACTGTACTCAGCTTCCTTTATTGTGACAAGACAAAACTTGCATGTTATGTCAACTGAGTGGAATTATTTAGATTTAGGGGAATGGAAGATGGAAGTAATGTACAAGAAATTGTTTCCCCAGTGTTGTAGATGCTATAATGCATTGTAGAAATTAATTTAAAGGCATTTGGAATAGAATTGATGAAGTTGAAGATGTGCTCTTACTATGTATTTATTTTTAGTTTGCATCCCATCCCTTTCAGCTAAAGAGACTTCAGCACTGGCTTATGTAAAATCAATAGCAAACAAAGCATTTCCTGCCTCAGGCTTCCGATCTAAATGACACAAGACAAAAAGTAAAATGGGATGAAGAGTTCTTAAAGTTCTTGAAAGTTTTTAAAGCTATTTTGTTGAGCTTATATGAAAACAGCTCCAGAAGAGACAGAATTGAATGGAGCAGAATGTGCTTATAATTCTCTTTCTGCTATAGCCGGATGATTTTTGGCTATAGCAGAGAAACTATTTGCTAAATGCAAAAAACTGA